ATAACTCACCCACCTGTTTGCCCGCTGACCAACAACGCGAGCGAGCCGCGTTATGATGCCAAGGGCAGAGCGGATATCCTAGCAGAGCACTTCGAGGAGCAGTTTATGCCGAACCCAGCTAGTGCGGAGTTCATGGAAATCCATACCCGGAAGGAGAGCCGCGTGCATGAGTTCCTGTCGTCACCCGCGCCACCGCTTGCAGGAGAGTGGTTCATCTCACCCGCCGAACTGTGGAGGTCAGTAACCCGCCTGCAACCGAGGATGGCGCCGGGGCACGATGGGATTACCAACGCCGCACTACGACAGTTGCCCAATAGAGTCCTTGTAGAGATAGGTCGGCTTTACAATGGCATATTGCGGACATCCCACTTCCCGGAGGACTGAAAGAAAGGCAAAATCATCGTCTTGCCGAAACCCGGGAAGGACAGGCGTAGAGCTGCCAGCTACAGGCCGATCACGCTGCTACCGCATATAGCTAAACTGTTCGAAAAAGTGTTGCTAAGACGCCTCCACCCGTGCATCAAACTTCGGGCAGAGCAGCACGAATTCAGGAGGAATCACTCAACAGCAACATAGCTGACCAGAGTGCTGCACCTGCTTGCGGTCGAGCACAACCACGGCCGCACATCGTTGGGCGTCTTTTTCGATATCGAGAAGGCGTTCGACAGGGTGTGGCACTCTGGATTACTCTACTAGTTAGAAGATCAGACCAGTGTCGCTCCTGCTATATTGTGGCTAGTGGCGTCTTTCCTCGCAGACAGGAGGTTCTACGTCTGTGTAGAGGACGCCGAGTCCGCAATAAGATTCATAACAGCTGGTGTGACACAGAGCAGCTGTCTGTCTCCAGTCCTGTACGCGGCTTACACCAATGACATCCCCATGGCAGGTCATCTGCGCGAACGGGAGGACGACGTAGAGCTGGCGCTATTTGCGTATGACAGCGCCTACTTCACCTCGTCCAGAAGAGCCCATATCGCCACTGCCAGGATGCAACGTCATCTGGACCTGCTGCCACCATGGCTGGATGAGTGGAGGACGGCCGTCAATGTTGGCAATACGACCGCTCTGCTCACTCACCGCTTCAGAAGATTTCCACCACCGCTAACCCTCAGAGGCCAGGAGATCGCATACGAGAAGGCCGTGACCTACCTTGGATGCCGGATTGACAGGATGCTGCGCATGACTGCGCACGTCGACTTCGTCGTCCGCAAAGCCCGATGTGCACGGGCCGTGATCCGTCCAGTTCTGGCATCCAAGTTACCGACTAAGTCGTAGTTAACCACGTACAAAATGTACATAAGACCCCCGCTAACATACGCTGCTCCGGCCTGGTATGCGCTGCTGAGCGATCGACAGAAGCGGCGACTACAGGCCCAGCAGAATTTGTCAATACGAACCATAGTCGGTGCGGGTCGCTACGTCCGGAATGACGTCATAGCGGCCAAACTAAGGATAGAGAGCCTTAAAGAATTTTTGGTCCGGCTGGCGCGCGGTATGTTCGACCGCGCCGACAACGGGCCACATGAACACCTTAAATAGATTAGGGAGTCGAGTTAACTCCACAATGCCGCAGATAGGCCAACTCTGACAAAATATTTATACTTAAATACAAATACAAGATAACCTCCTTAAAATATTACTTTTATGATAGAACTCATGTATTGGTTATTTATGACATCAAACCTACCTTTTTTATGGACTGATCTGATACAACCCACCATAAGTTCATCGGGGTACATCTCTGTTTTAATACATGTATTTATAAATTTAGCTAAGGCTTCTGAAATAATATTGACAATACCCTTGATATCTCTCATTCTATTGCAATCAAAACATGAAGCTTTATCAGTACTTAGCTTATTGATTAATTTAGCTACACTATCTGGTGTTGCCTTCTTAAAGTACATGCTACAAACTACAATTATTTACATTGACTGGTAGATTGTTTTGATCATATTTTAATATATTTATGTTGCAGTTTGGCAAAATATCTTTCACGGCAGGTATTGGTAACAGATTTAATGATTTAAAGGCATTTAATATAACCTCATCTATTGATTTTACAATCCTACCAGCGATATCGTTTAAAATTTGGCATAATTTTCTTGAATTAGCAAAATTTTTAATTATTTTATTTTTATAATAAGAATTTCTGTAATAATCAGTTACCTTGTTTGCCTTATTTCTCATTTTATTGTATTCTAATCTTAATAGTATGTTATTTTGGTCTTTCTTCCATTTATTAAATAGCTCATCACGTTTATCACTCAGATTAATAATTTTTTTTTAATCCATGGCGCCTGTCGATACGATTCTGAGTTTTTATTAATAGTTCTCGTTGCCCTAGAATACGCATTACTAAAAGTATCTTTGATGAAAGTGTACATTTGTTGCGATGACTGCAAACCATCAATTTGAGGCCATTCCGCCGTACATAATTCGTCGCCTAATATTACAGGGTCATATATAGGTATTTGTTTACTTGCGATACAGTTAAGTTTTTTTTGATTCATGAATACTGCATAACGCAACCACGGTCAAGCGATGATCCGCCAGTACAGTATCGACCGTGGCCGAGCAAGGATGTGTTGTGTGGGAGCGCACAAAGATATGATTAATGCAAGATTGTGTAGTTGAGTTTAATCTTCTTTCAATACGTGTATAATCGGTGATACCACACTTCAGTCCCTGCTCTGCCAGTAGGTTTAAGTACTTATCTCTAATATTTGATGATAATTTTAGGTCTATGTTCATATCTCCAGTGACTACAACATTAACAAAGTGCTGTAAGTTATTTAATAATATTGTAATTTCATTTATAAACAGCTGTTTATTATAGGACGGAGGTCTGTAGATAGCACACAAGGCAATTACTTTATTACACGGTGTTTTAACAGAACCTATTATCGACTCAAATGTATGTGAACAATAGTCTAACTGCGTGAATTTTAAATAGTTTCTTACATAAACAATAATACCTCCGCCTTTTCTATTCTTACGAAGTTGTGAGTACATTTTATAGCCAGGAATATTATACAAATGACAAATGTTATGTGCTATAGCTACTTCGGTCAATATTATTATATCAATGGGATGTAAACTTATTTCTATTTGATGCAACAATTTAGAGTAATTTTTAATCATGGAACGTATATTGACATGTATACATAAGAGGTTAATGTGACAATATTGAAGTTTTTTGATAAAATTATTACAATTTAAACAGTCAAAATATTCAGTTATTTCGGATGAGTACGTAAAATTATTATTTTCCATCACTATTAGGTGTAAGTAAAAAGTATTGTATTTCAGTTAAATTATATGTGACGTAAATATAGTAAATAAATAAAGACCTATCAATTTACAACTTGGTAGGTAGGCACTTTATTTAGTTAATGATATAATTTCAGACATAGATCTAATCAATTGCACTTTACTTGCTTTTGTTTTCCTTGCAAAAACTTTACCATTTTTACACCATACAAATTCAAATGTTGGACGCAGATTTTTATTTGCATTATATAATAACATTTTGCTATACGGAGTAAGTGCTTCACGAACAAAAATAGGATTCTTAGCCATTTCGTGTAATGCGTTAGGTACAACGTCACCAACTGTAGGAGTCACCTGCTTAGCCGCTGAAATCTATTGTTCGCGGTATTCGGTAGATTTTAATTCCACCAGAAGAGAACAAGGATGACCCTACGAACTACGCGTGGAATTTACGGCTTTGAATGCAACCTTAAGCTTATTGGCAACTGATTTTATAGTGTCTTGAGGTTTCTGCAAAGCCACTTCAGGTAGCCCTGATATTTCCAAGGAATGCGAAAGAGCTTTTTAGCGTCTCGACACAGGACACTCGTAGTTCTAGGTTCTTATTTTTATTTTGAAGTTCGTTATTTTTGTTTTCAAGCGCTTTAATTCTGCATTCCTGACTTTTGACACATTCTTCCATGTTTGATAATTGTTAGCCAAGGAAATTTAGCGATATTTCGAATTCTCTTTTGAAGTCTTCGAATTTTTTCTTAAAAAATTTTTTCACCTCAGACGTTATCTGATGAAGTAATTTGGAGCTGACGTCCTTGCTGAGGGATGGCACCGTTTCTTCTTTCTCATTTTCAGATTCGTCAATAAAAACAAATGCTGACGATCTGCGAGATGCATTGCATAAGCATTCGGCGCAGCTCCATTCGAGACCAGGAGTGTTACGAAGAGTCGCCAGCTGTTTGTTAGATAACTTCGCACATTCGTGGGTAGCGTGGACACTTTTCTCACACCTACTACACACTATTCCGAGAACTTTTTTCGTTATATTTTTATTACAAGTCGAACATTTTTATTACAAGTCGAACATTTTTATTACAAGTCGAACATACCCATATTATAAGGTAGTTACGCGTAACACAATACACCGTGCGTAACGTACAACGTTAGCCGACGGAATGAACTTAAAACTAATATTGCACAAAACAACTTATAAACTCTACTTCAAAACAAACAAATTAAATAAGCAAAATGGCGGATTGTGTCAGCGCTACTGAAGTGTAGCAATCGTGTCCTGGTCGAAAACTATTCCAGCGCTTGTAAGCGCTTGCTAGCGCTTTTTTTTTGCCAAACGCACCCATAAATTAGTGTATCTCTTTGATTAGTGTTTTTACCGGTTTTTACATAGGAGTAATAGTGTTCTGTGGTTTTTACTTTTTAGTTTATGAACGTAGGTTATTACTCTACTCTATGACGTAGGTAAAATCATAGATAAGAGCATTTATCTATGGATAAGAGTCACAGAGTACCTTTGTAGATAAGAGTGTTTTGGGTAAAATAATAAAGTGAAGAAAAAAACTATATACAATAAAATATTATTGTTTATCATAGATAAATAAATACGTAGCAAGCTATTGTTTATCATCGCTTCAGGTTCAGTGTTTATTGCTAAACGTTTATTGTGTAACTATAAACCTCCGAAAGGAGTAATAGTGTTCTGTGCTATAAACCCCATAATGAAGCGTAGCGGTGGTGATAATGAATATGTAAGTATTGCTTATATGAGACAAGTTGTCCTATCCAAATCAATATAATTAAATTGGTAGAGATAGAGCCACGTTGCAACATTTTTAATGGGCTACACCTGCAGTAATATAAACACATAAACAAGTTATCACAAAGTGAATAACTTAGTTATGTCTATGTTATCCATTTTGTTTAGCAGTGACTGTAGTATGGTTCGTAGGATAAGATTGTTATTTTCCTCTGTGATGTCGGTTCGACTCTAAAAGGATTTCACTCGCACAGTCATTGAATACCAGCGTTGAGTGTTGCTCTTTGATTATGCTGTTGTGTTTCTTATGGTGGGTGACGAGAATCGGATGCATTTCTTATCGGTGTGAATGCATTCCATCCATTAGCATATTCATATGCTTTCTGAACCTAAATCAAGAATAGATGTAGGATTCTGTAGCTCACTGCATCCATTTACTATCAGGTGCACTAAATGCCCATTCATTACCCTTGATTCTTTAAAAAAAAATTATGTGATGATAGTTTTATAATAATTTGTTCCATATCACATATACTTTTATTTGTTATATATACTTGAATGCTCCGTTTTGTTGCCCATTTGAATCTTTTTGATGTTAACCTAACCTGTAAATCTAAAAGAAAACTAATGCTTTTTTTTGATTTTGTTGTGGTCAAAACCTCTCCTGTTAAAATTTTTATAAAATATAAAACTTAATATGCTTTGTAAGTAGTTATATTGTACTTCTAAATACTGTTGACTATGGAGGCTTGAAGTTGAACATATTGGAATGGCCCAAACCTGACATAATTATCTCCAAACATACTTCTTGCAAGGCCATATTGTGAGCTCACAAGTGTATTTATGTGAATGTTTCAATATTCCGAAAATATTTGGGCTCCAGTTTCATAATTTTTTATTTAATATAGTTTTTGGGCCATCTATAAAAAAATCTGAGTTCTTTAGGGTTAAGAGCTTCCATATGGTTTGTTTCCTTCTATGGAAAGGTATATTATCTTCTCATTACAAATTGTTTTAGAATCCTTGCATACTAGGCATGCAAGATAGGAAACTTATTGCATATTCATTATTAAACTAGAATTTGGGATCCAATCCATTCCATTACACTTGTTTAGAAAGCCTTGCAAGAAACAAATCTTTATTGATTTTTTTAACTTGTGTAAAAAATACATAGCATATGTAAAGAATAAACTTTCTGGGAAATCTGCACTCTGTAAACATAAACACACAGAATTCTCTTGCTGCTACATCGGATTTGATAGACCACAAATCTTCCCAAAAGAACTGATTCCTTCAAATAATTATTTTCATTTCAACTGAATGTTAATTACTTACATATGTTAAACGTCTAAGTCTCACTCTGACCATAGGTATGTTAAAGTACTTGAAACATCGGGAATATAAAATAATTTAGTTAAATGAAATATAATCTGTAAAACTATTTCATTCAATGTAATATTTCTCGTCATTATAGGAGGAACCTGAACACTTAAGAAAATTATTTATAGGTGGTTTAGATTATCATACAAATGACAATACCTTAAAAGAATTTTATGAGCAGTGGGGAGAAATTGTGGATGTTGTAGTTATGAAAGATCCTCAAACTAAGAGATCCCGAGGATTTGGTTTTATAACATATTCTCGAGCACATATGGTCGATGATGCTCAAAACAATAGGCCACATAAAATAGATGGCAGGTAAGCATTGTTTTTACAAAGTTATGAATTTTTGAATATTGCTTTAAAATTACACTTTTTTGTTTAAATGCTTATTTGTTTCGAAACTAAAACAGTTCCACAGTTAAAGTTTTATTATTAAATCTTTTCGAAGAACTCTTCATAAGCGTCTAAAAATGTTCGAAACTCTTTCCAGTCTGCCTTTTCTATGGCCTGCTCGATCAATGTTAGTACATCTTCTGTTTATGAAAACTGTTTGGCTTTCCGCTGATTTTACTCTAGGGTTTAAAAAGTCACATGGTACTGAATTAGGGCCGTAGGGAGTGTGCTCAAAATGGTGGTGCTCAATAGCACTACCCAGGGACTATATTATATTGTCATGTGTAGAGTCAGGATTCAAGTAGTTGCTGATGTAAGCAGCTACATTCTTCCAGACATACAAGTCCGTTACATACATTATGCAAGATAACTTTCACTGGAGCAGTGTGGCAGACCCTATCCATAGTGGGATGATTACAAGCAGTTAATATTGTTTAATGCATAATAGTTAACTTTCAATGGGAAATATTTTTCAGAGTAAAATTTAAATATGTATGCACTTTAATTTATCGTTCGATCTCTCATTTCTGAGAGTATATTGTATCAGGGAAAGTCTGCTTTGCTACCCCTAACATGATACGGAACTTAATATTATTTGTTAAATTAGACATTTTTCTTTAGCCGTTACAGCCTATTAAAGTCCACTGCTAAACATAGGCCTTCCCCATAAATTGCCTTATATGGGGAATATTTTCAATAGATGTCACGCTTGGAAAGCAGGGTCGCAACTGCAGTATTTTTTTAATATTTTCAGTTGTTATTAGGTCTTTAGTAGTCATTATTTATACATTTCTTAGATACTTTACCTGGTGGTGGGACTCCTTCTCTGCCTAGGAGTCTATCTGGGTATGTTTTATTTTAGGGTATTAGAACAGTGTATTACTTTTTCATGGGAGTGTGTAAGGGTAGTAGTGGACACTCCCCTCTCCCCCCACTCTCCGTCATCCTATTAAAACCATTCCTGCCAAAGGATTCTAAACTTTTACCAGGCTATTTATTAAAATTTTACTACATTTCAGGGTGGTAGAACCTAAGAGAGCAGTTCCTAGAGAAGAAATAAAAAGACCAGATGCTAGTGCTACTGTAAAAAAATTGTTTGTTGGAAATTTGAAGCATGACATTGAAGAGGAAGATCTAAGAAATTATTTTTCACCTTATGGTAACATAGTGTCTGTGAGCATTGTTACTGAAAAATCTACTGGCAAGAAAAGAGGGTTTGGTTTTGTTGAGTTTGATGACTATGATCCAGTTGATAGAATATGCTGTAAGTATAACTTTAAATAATGAGCTTGTCATTCTTTATTAGACTTTTGACCTCTAAATAACTGGTGGCGTTGAAATATTTTTTATAATTATTTGTCATAGTATGTCAAGAAATTTTTTCGCAATAATTTCTTCATTATTATAAGGTTTATTCACATTTATTAGGATATTATTCACATTTATAAGGTCAAAAGAAAGGCTATATTTCTTATTATAATATTAAGGTTATTATTACTAAGATGCATGTATGTTATTTGTCTGTCCCTTCATAATTGTGTTGCTAGCCTAAACACTGATGGGAAGTTTATGATTAATTATATTATGTAATATAAAAACACTTATAGCCTAATTCAAATCCAAGCTCATGTATATTTAATTTTAATAATTTTATTGTTGTTCTATTATATGGTTTTGTGGTTGATTATAGCAATAGAGCTTAGGGACTAATAGTTCGTCCTAAATTAACACAGTACGCGAGTAACCCTGGTTCATCCACCGCTGGTACCAAGAAAAACATAACATGTTCAAAAACTTATAATAATCGAAGCCAATAACGCTTAACGAATAACGCTTTTGACGGAGTGGTGGACACTTTCTTGCCCTCAAACCCTCTCAGAAATGAGAGGAGGACTATGTGGTTGATTATTTTGTAATTTTTTGTGTAATGACGATATAGTGGCATGGCAGGAAAAGTGCTCATGGGCTTATGTTATGGTGTGCAAAGGGTTAAACCACATAATAGTGAAAATGACTTAGTATTTGAACGATGATGTTTTTTAAAATATCAATCCTTTGGAAAATAAAAATTTATTAAACAATTATGTGAAGCCATAGTGGCATATCAAACAGGAATTGTGTAGATAAATTTATTTTGATAATTTAAACCAATAATTTTAGCTTTATTTTAGGAATATCAGGTAATATAGAAATTCTTATATGCCACAATTTTTAAAAGTCCTACATCTTCCAAAATTCTTCTTCATAACCTAGTAGAAATCCATTGCTGGACGTGGGTCTCTCCTCACATTGCAAAGAGGATTTATGTTAATGTCACATTTGGCAGGCAGACTTAAGATCGAAGGATCTAGATGTATGTCTATATATATATAAATTTGAGTCTAGTCCATATAGCATAGTCTAAGAATCAATTTTTCAGTTTGTGTTTAAATTCTAGATTGTCTTTGAATATCAGCCTAAGTCTTTCCATGTATTGTTATCATTTTAGTCTACGTTTTTACATTTACATGTTTCATAATATCTTTATCAGTGCAGCGTAATCACAAGATCAAAGGTCGTCATCTGGATGTTAAAAAGGCCATGCCAAAGTCTGAAATGGCATCTAGCGGTGGTTCTAAAAATGATGGAGGTAGTGGCAGACGTGGCGGCCGTAGGGGAGGGAGCTGGGGTAGCCGTCAAAGTGAACAGGATTGGGGTATGATTTTAGAAATAAAAAAATATTAGTTTTGGCTAAACAGTACATCACTTAAATATCAAAAAACAAAGTACCAGAGTTCTCAATTTCAATAATGTTTATTACCGCTTTATTGCATTAGTTCTGTGCATTAAAACAGCCATTGCCTAAGTAATCATTTTCTGGTAATGATTTTCTTGAAGCATTCTCTCTACAGGTAATAGAAATAAGGGTGACAAATGAGCACATAGTCCCCCACCTGATGGTAAGTAAATGCTGTGGTCCATATGGCATCAATATAATAAAATAATACATGGTAGAGCCACGCTGCAGCTATATTATGGTTGTAGCATGAATAGGTCGGCTCGACCGGGGAAGGACCACACTCTCACAGAATACCAGTGTAATATAGCAGCTTAATACTGCTGTGTTTCGTACGGTAAATGTAGATATCCGGAGACCCTTTTTACTGGAAACAAGGCATTCCATCTTAGTCCTTAGGGGTGACAACACATCTGCGTTTTGATTCTTAATTGAGGATAAATGTAGATGTCTATGGGCCACAGCATCCACTTACCATCAGGTGGACTGTGTGCTCGTTTGTCACCCTTATTCTATAAAAAAAACCTTATTCTATATTTAAAAAAAAACCGTCGCCATAAAAAGCGCGTTTTCTGAACAAAAGATTACTCATTTAGATTATCTAATCAGAAAGGATCCTATTTATTTGATCTTCAGATTTTTCCCCTTATAATTTGTCATTACCTAGTTATATGATTTAAATATTTGTTATGAAATGAGTAGTCACAATTGTTCACTAAAATACTTTTAACTATAATCGGTATTGTTCATAGTATTGTTTTTCAGGATATGGAGAGGAACGTGGTTGGGGTAACCAGAATCCTTGGGAATCTAATGACTCCCAGGGAAATTGGGGTAGTCAGGATTATGTTGATGAGAGTTGGCCGCAAGACAATTTTGGGGGTGGATATCAACAAAGCTATGGCGGCGGCCCTATTAGATCCAACTATAATGCGCAACGACAGCAACCTTACAATAGTGGTAAAAATTATTGACTTTCAAAAGGTCAATTTTTAATAAAACTATTTTGACTTTGTCTTAGAAATATTGTGGAAGTGAGTTGCTGTCATCTGGTGGTGGTGTAGGAGCATCCGTCGACACATTTTGTGCCATGGATGCTATTAAGGGATAAAATATATCTATTCCGATATATGGCGGTGAAACTACCTCGTAAAATACTTAGCAGATGTATTATATTCAATAGCAGCAGCGTCATAAGTGCGAAACGTGTGGTACTGCTAGTTATAGGTCTTGGTATGTATGCTCTGGATGTTATACTCTTTACCAGGGGAATGGCCTGTATTCAATAGTGGATTTTAGTGGGCTTTAGTGAAAAGGTGACTTGTATAGGGTACTTGAAAAAATCATATTAAAGAGAATATTGTCAAACTTAGCCGATTGTATTTTGTTAATCCATTATATTCTATTGATCTTAATTTTTTTACTAAACCAACAACATTTTTAATTTTATTTGTACTTAAATTATGTACATACATTATTTAAGTACAAATATTTAAATTATGTATGTACATAATTACACATAATGGTTGTTTAGGATTATTTTTTTATTTGCTTTTTATGTTATGAAAAAGAAAAATTGGCTAATTTGTGATCACGGTATCTAAAAATGTGATCTAGAGAATCAATTTTCAACAGTAAACAATATGCCTACCATCATTTAAATAAGTGACATGCATTTTTTAAATTAATGCCAGAACTGTAGGTCCAGGTGATAGGCCTTTTATGCAAGGTACAACTAGGTGGGTACCACCGCGGTGCCAGATATTCTGCCGCCAAATAGTTATGCGTAAGCGTTACTCTGTTCCGGTTTGAAGGGCACTGTAGCTAGTGAAATTACTGGGCACATGAGACTCAAGAACTGACGTCTCACAGTGATGCAGTACAATCAATGACTGCAAATCAAAGCAATGGGTAGCACTGGAACTGATATGGGCTGGCATGACGCTTACCATCAGGTGAATGTCCAGCTCGCCTCATCACTTGTTTACATTTTAAAAAAAAACTAGTACAGGAGGGTATTCTCAGTCGGTACTCACTTGAGGATTATTTTTGTTACAAAAATACAAATACATATATGTATCAATACCTATAGATAATCACAGGCAATATGGCATTATTATGATATAATAATAAATGTGTATTAAATGTATCTCTCAGTTTCTTCACCGAAAAAACTCGTTTGAATAACATACATTATATTGATACAATATGTACTATTGTATTGTAACTATGTAACATGGATTGCAAAGAAAAAAAAAACTTAGTCTGAAATTTATTAGTGCATAATATTTGAAAATGATTTATCATGTTTGCCTAATTTTAGGTGGCGGCTCTAGGCAGGGATTCAATGCTATGGGGAATTCTTCATCTGGTGGAAATCTGCGACGTTATTAAAACCTCCAGATCCTCTTGTAAGTATCATCATGCTTTATTTGTATAATGTAAAAATACGATTACTCACCACTTGACAATTTTAACACTTGTTCAAATTATAAAGTTTTGCATTTTAAAGTTTCATCAGCTTAATTTTTAAATTGTTTAACGCTGATTTAAGATATACTAAAGGAAATTATAAGATTTTAATTCCTTAAAAGCCTGTCAGTGGTATCTGAAGACGTTTAGTAATAAAAGAGGAAAAATCTTAACCGTTTTACGAAAACATAGAGATTGGGTCCGAATTATTTGAATTAATGAATGTTTTATTAGTTTTAATGTGTAAAACACAATTTACTTACGGACAGACTACAAGAAAATAAGAATACGTACAGTTCGACCTAAGACCATTATTAAGAGAGGGACCATTAAAAAAAAACGCCATGACGTTTCACGTCATTTTCCTATCGTGTAATGAGGGAATTTTTCTCAAGTTTGTCTTTTGGTTTGTAACTACGAAACTATCGGAAGTGCTCAAATTAATTTCGCCTGAATGGGGAAACGAGCATAGGGGACGGCGAGATTTAAAAAAAATTTTTTGCGGAAAGTGTCCTTCGTGCACTTTAGATTCATTTTTACTATTAATAAAATTTAAAAGAATCCTTAACCTTCCTATAATCGCACAAAATTTTGTAACACCACGATCACCCAATTTTGTAAAACCTATAGTACGGCCTTATAGACCGAAAGTTCATAATTGTATTTTATGAATTTCATTCAAGAAAATGATTCTTAAAAAACTATAATATATATTATAGTTTTTTAACATTGAGAAGAAATATTTAATTAACGAGTTAAACCCAAGACATTGTTGATGTATTATTTATTCGATGAATAGAACTTTCATTAACATCTATGTTTTTCTTAATATATAAATTATATATTTTTTTACTTCTAACAAACAAAAACAAACTGAAATATTAAAGATAGCATGATGAGGTAAATAAACTAAACATACTATAATAGGATGCTCCATACAAAAGTAAATTATAATTTATCATAGCTTTAATACATTTTTATAGTCCTTTTTAGACTTGCAATAAACACAACAGCCGATTTTATAGTTATTAGATACTTCTGACTCTCTAATTAGCTTAATCGATTTTGGCAAAGATGTGTTGATAGCCTGTGTCTTGAGAAATAATGAGGTCATAGGAAAAAGCTTCTATGGTTAACTTTCTTACTGAAATTTTCTTGACTTAAAATTGTGTTTATTATTTTTAATTGTATGGAATAGTAAAGTTGTTAGAACTTAATCTGTTTCATTCCATCTAATGACATAAAATTATGTGTCCTGCCCAGTTTGAAGAGGACTTTCCGCCCTATCTCTGTCACCACCACTTCCAACACCACCACACTACCAAAGAGACCACCGTCGATAATATGACACGTGTTTCGCCTCTCCACGAGGTATTGTCAGGTAAAGTAGACTGCGCTGACTGACCACTAGGTTTTAGCCGTCAACCACAGCAGTCTACTTCATCATTCATCATTTTATTTCATTACGCGGAAGGCAGAAAATTAGGTTCTAACAGCTTTAACAAAATGGATTTCCGCAAAGTAACGTCCAATTCTACTAATTGTATGGAATAGAAGAGCAGCGAGTCTTAACAAGATGTGTATAACCGATTGAAGGTTGTAAAACTTTTTATTCTAATACAAAAACCCCACTATTTATCAGATTTGAATTACTTTTCCTCTTCCTATCTGAAATCGAACTTTTATATTCAGGGTGTGAATATATAATCTTCTTTCCCTTGCCCAAAGTCGCATTCAACCCTTTCTCTGATCTTTTCGCTTAAAAGTAACATTGGATATGGGTAAATTAATGAGGGCGAGAGAGTTGGCAATGTTTGTTTAAATATTTCCGGTATTAAAATATAAATGCCATAGCGCATAAACAACTTTTGAGAGTACTTAGAAGTATAGACACATAGGCAAGGTCTTGTTTACGAGTCCGGATATTTACTTTATAATTGTAAATTGGGTTGTTTATATAATTACCTATTTATCTTAGTTCTGAAATGACTAACAAGATTTTTTGACTGTTGTGTGTCATGCTAAAGAATAATTAAAGTTTTTTTTTTCTTAAAAATCCTAAAATTAATTAATGTTTTATTATAACTGAATGAAGCCAATGCGTTTATCTAATACTCACTAAATATTTTTAATGCTTAGGTGTGAAGTTGCGCTTAATTGAAGCTAGGCAGGGAGATGCTAGAGTAGACAGGAGTAGGCCTGGAGTCATCTAGATATTGAGGGAAAAACACAAGCGGACTTAGGAAAGGACCACATTGTATAGTTATTCAACATTTAAATTTGACCTTGGCTTAAGGTCTGTTCACACGAAGGTATTGTGCAGGCTAAAGGTTATCTTTACACTTAAGTTCTTGTTTCACAATTTTTACACCTGAATATTATGTGGCGTGTCACTTTTCACTGCCAGATGTTTTCTACGCGGCTTGAAGAAAATATGTTTTAGTTGCAAAAGAATGTAATATTTATTTTATCTACCCAAATATTTAGGGTACTTCAATTTAATCAGCAATTTCACTGAAATTCGAGAAGACATTTTTTGTTTCTATATTATTAATTTGCTCATTAATAATACTGACATTAAAATGACGCAAAAACATTCCGTGGTTTATATTTGTTATTTTGTATTAAAATTATTATATTTGTTAGATTATTATTAGAAAGATTTAAGTTTAATTACAAAATTAGGTTTTTGTTAAAGCAATTTTAAATTATCTCAATTATTATTATTATTAGGTATTAGGTATGTCCTATTATTAATAACCGATAAGTGTTTTAAGTATATTCTAAGAAAACATATTTAATTGTTCATATTTGTAGTCAATTTTGTAATGTAGTAGTAATATGAATATTCGTGTGCAATAATAAACTAAATAAATCCTGTTTTCCATGGACTCTTCTACGCGGTGGGCAAGTATCTGTTCGTGGAAAAGGCCATGGTAAGTGGACTTTGGTGGAATAAAAGTATTGAAAAATTTCTCATTTTTTTATTTTAACTGTGACACATTACTCTAATAATACTTTATTGACTAGTTGCTTAGTATTTACATTGTCATATACATTCTTTATTAGTAGTTCATTTAAAGTGGATATATTTAAAAAAAAATTGGCATATGTTTAAAATTCGGATAAAATGTTAAACACAAATTACTTACAAATCTTGAGATCATAACCACACCTTAGGGTCTACCCACATTTACCATAACCACAACACGTGGGCGGGCGCATTTTGTATTGGAAATGAGTAGTACAATTTTCACGTGCCACATTTTGCCGTCATTATCGAATGCGTGAGTGATACCGACCACAACGCAACCACGACACAACCACTACGGAACCACCCGGAACTAGCGGCCGCTACTAGCGACATCGCAACCACATCGACATTTTGCCGCGTTACGACAACGCAGTTGCAAAAAGCTGCAGCGACACTATTTACACGTGACCACATTTTGTCGCTGCGATGTGCTGAGGCTGTGGTACATGTAGGTCGATCCTTACTCTATATAATATATACAGTTTTACATGAACTACGACGAATAGTTACTATTTATAAATTACATTTGATCGTAAAAGAAAACTCATCAGCATTGTCATAGTGAATAGTCTTTTTAAGATCGGTGCTGGACGTATTGATTACAATAATGTTTCTGCAGATATTTACTTGAGAAATATGATACGCTAGTTAAGAGGGTTAGTGAGCGCAAAACCAAAGACGGGTTTTTTGCCACCAGTCCGTTGCCAGAGTCTCGCTCTTTAATCAATACGGAATTTGACAGACATTTCGAAAGAAATTAACATATTTCTTAGGAAAACCTACATGTTTTCTGCGCCGCCAAGTTGGAGTAAAATCAATACGTTAAATTGTTAGTTTCAATGGTTCTTTATTCCGTGTCTTTTAAGAGCGATGTAGGGGAATGTATGCATACGATCTGTCAAAATCCTTATCCTTTATTTTTAGGTTTATGCTACAATATTTGATATTTCTGTGTAGTAAAACTCAGGCTCAACTGTTAACATCGCTCTTTAATAGGTACCTACTGCAACTATCGTAATACAGTTGGATAAGTGTATATTAAAATAATCATAAAAAATAACTATAAATAATACTGAAATAAACATTTTAAATTGCGTCGTCTGTGATGTAATGATATAAGCCATCACGATTCTGGCATTCTTCGGCGACTGCATCTGCAACTCATACGAGTCTAATGGCCCAGCCTGTATGTAAGTTCTTCCTTATCTACCTATGAAGTATTAGCATGTTATATTGTCAAATTCAACTAATAGACAGGACAAAAATAAGTATTAAATTAAATAATCTGTATAGGACAAATATACGTATCTACTACTGATTGCATATGTAATAGTGACTTCACATCTGTTACCTCTCCTGTGAATGTCGTGACTGATAACGGAGATTATAAACCAGGGTTAATCAGCCTACCTCTTAATTTCTTACATGTACGTACGTTCTTTTCTTTTTGATACTGATAAGAATTCTGCGAATTTCATGCCAATGCTAATAACAGCAAGCATCCTTTTTAAATAAAACTTGCACGATATATTTGTTCCTAATCTGCCAGCCAAAAGTATTGCCCCCAAAATAGAGAAGTTTTTACATACAAACTATAATATGTAATTAAACACATTTTTGTGTAAATAGGCAGACAAAGGGTGCAAATACATTGAATCGGTCATTGCTTTTTTGGAATAATTAAATTATTTTTTATAGTTAATATTACTGATAATTAGTTTTGAACACATTATTTGTGGATCGCTTGCTGTGGATGAACTGGCAGGCACGGACATGGAGGAGGCTGGCCGAAAGGTGTGGTGAGTATGGTTGGGAAGAAACCTGACGCGGCTGCTATTTGTCTGTAACGATAAAAGTAAATATAGTTGTAAAACTTACTAATTAAAGACACGTGTATTAAATTTCTGTAGGGTGGTAATGTTAAATTAATATTTTGCAATGTTAGTATTATTTATTAAATTCCTTTAAGATACGGAATAAGTATTAAAGTAGAAAGAATAGCTACAGCCTATATAGACCAGGGTCGAAGCCGTCAAAAATAATTAAAAACGAAAAAAATTAAAGTAGAATGAAGCCTATTGGAAAAGGAAGGGAATACTACTAAAATGAAAGGAAAAATAAATTACGGGCGATCTGCGGTTGGGAAGGGGTAGGGGGTGAGTTTTAAGGGTAAAAATCGGTAAATCTCGATTTCCGGCAAAACTACATCCTTCAGTCCTATCGAAAAAAGTTAAATGACAAAGTTGTAGATAATAAAAAGATCTACAACTTTTGTATGTACACTTTTTCTCCATAACCTCAAAATTCATGTAAAAAATCCAAAAAACCACATTTTTTATTTTTTTATTTTACAAAAAATTTTTTTTGTGATATTTGGTGAAAACTTACCTCTTTATGTCCCAAACACACTGGAATTTTGAAGATTTAAAATATTAATTTTTTACCCTATTTTGACTCTATGTCGAAAAAGCACCCTAATTTTCGATCGAAAATTCTCACGTCAAAATATCAGATTTTTCAAAAAAGTCGGTGGGCTTTTTGTTCGTTGAAATCTCTATTTTCTGATGGTGTAAAAAAATTTACATTACTATGGAAAAAAAAATTCAGAAAATGCAAAAAAAACGCAAAATACTAAAATTCGATTTTTTTTAATCTATGTACTACGAGGGTGGATTGAAAAGTACTCGGCCTAACCAAGAAAATAAACACATACTAAATCAGTTATATTTTTATTTTTCTACATAATCACCATCAAGTTCAATACACTTTTGCCACCTCCCCTTCCAAGCATTTAGACCGTTGAAAAAAAATTATTCTTCCTTAGAGTCAAAATATGCGTCTACAGCTGCTTTGACCTCGTCGTTTGTCGAAAATCTTTGACCTCCCAAGTGCTTTTTTAGGTTAGGGAACAGAAAGAAGTCTGATGGTGCCAGATCAGGTGAATACAGCGGATGCGGTAACAGTTCAAAGCCACAGTTGTGAATTTCAGCCATTGACTGTACTGACGTGTGAACACGGGCGTTATCTTGATGAAATAGGACTTTTCTTCTGAGCATTCCTCGACGTTTTTCTTTTATTTCCTCTCGTAAACGACGTAGTAAGGTGCAGTAGTAATCAGAGTTTATAGTCTGACCCCTTTCAAGATAATCAATGATAATCACACCTTTCAAGTCCCAGAATACTGAAGCCATCACCTTATTTGCCGACAAAATCGACTTAGCCTTTTTTAGGGGGTGGTGAACCAGGTCTTCTCCACTGTTTTGATTGTTGTTTTGTTTCCGGTGTACAGTAATGAACTCATGTTTCGTCCATAGTAACAAAACGATTCAAAAAATCATCTGCATCGGCTTCAAATAACTCCAAACAGTCGCGTGAAATAGTCAATCGCGTCCTTTTTTGTTCAACTGAAAGCAGTCACGGAACCCACCTCGCAGACACCTTGTGGAAACCCAACTCGTTGACATTGATGTTTTGAGTTCGTTCATAAGAGATGCCTATAATCTCGGCTATCTCTCTAATTTTTAATCTGCGGTCTCCCATTATTAAATCAAGTACTTTTTTTAATATTTTCGTCGTATAGTATAGTTATAGTATAGTTGACGTCGAAGGCCTTCCAGAGCGGGGTTCATCTTTCACACTCTCTCTACCACGCTTAAATTCTGCTATCCATTTTTTGATGGATGAATATGACAGAGCACAATCGCCTAATGTACTGACCATGTCATCATGGATGGCTTTTGATGATAGCCCCTTCTTATGGAGGTACTTAATGACGGCACGCTGCTCGATTTTCTCCATTCGCGGAAATTATGTCCGATTACTTTGTTAATAAATTTATAAAATCACAACTAATTATCGCACACGTTTCGAACTTCACACAATGAACTAGTCTGAACTGAACTAAATAATGTGGGTAGATTTGATTTTTAGAATTGAATGGATCTGTGTTAGGCCGAGTACTTTTCAATCCACCCTCGTATTTTAATGAATACCTCAAAATGGTACATAAAATTTCGAATTTTAGTATTTTTCGTTTTTTTTTTGCATTTTCTGAAAAAAATTTCAATAGTATATTTTTTACACCATCAGAAAATAGAGATTTCAGCGAACAAAAAGCCCACCGAATTTTTTGAAAAATCAGATATTTTGACGTGAGAATTTTCGATTGAAAATTAGGGTGCTTTTTCGATATCGAGTCAAAATAGGGTGAAAAAAATTAATATTTTAAATCTTCAAAAGTCCAGTGTCTTTGGGACATAAAGAGGTAAGTTTTCTCCAAATATCATGAAATTTTTTTTTGTAAAAGATAAAAATCAAAAATAAAAATGTGCTTTTTTGGATTTTTCACATAAATTTTGAGGTTATGGAGAAAAAGTATAGATACAAAAAGTTGTAGATCTTTTTATTAGCTACAACTTTGCCATTTAACTTTTTTCGATAGGACTTGTAGTTTTGCCGGACATCGGGATTTACCGATTTTTACCCTTAAAAACTCACCCCCTACCCTTCCCAATCTCAGATCGCCCGTAATTTATTTTTCCTTTCATTTTAGTGGTATTACCTTCCTTTTCAAATAGGTTTCATCCTACTTTAATTTTTTTTTCGTTTCTAAAATTATCGACCCTGGTCCCTGGCTGGACCTTTTAGTATTTCCTGGAGGGTTTTAAGGCAAGGAAATTGTCCGTCGCGCAGCCCAAATGCGTGTTGGCGAACTTTACATGTCTTTAGAACATTTTTTAATTTCTTAGTCAATCAGTTCTTAAAATACAACTATGTAATCATTTCATTAATGCCGGTGGAGATCGAACCTGGGTTGGTCGCGTACTGTAAAATTTACAGAAAGGTCTTCGCCTTGTAGAAATAATAAGCCTAGATTGTGCGAAAAGACTGGAAGATCTTGATAGTTTGTGACATTGGAATTATATTCAACTTGTCATTAATATGGTGCACACACAGCAGTGGATGAACTTGTGCTTCCCTATTTAGATGGTATAGGATCCACTACGTGGTCATCATCATCATTAAAGCCCTTCACAAGTCCAATGCTGAACATAGGCCTCCCCCAAGTAATGCCACAAAGCACGGTCCTGAGTCACCTGCATCCATCGACTTCATGCATGTTTTATCAGGTCGTCACTCCATCTAGTGGAGGTTCGCCCTACACAACGCCTACCGGTACGAGGCTGCCACTCGAGAATCTTTTTTCCCCTTTTTTCGGTTATCGGTTCTTCGAAGTACATGGCTAGCCCATTCAGCTACTAATCCGTTGGGCTATGTCGGTCACTCTGGTTCTACTGCGGATATCCTCATTTCTGAGTTTATCATGTAGAGAAACCTCGAGCATAGCCCTCACCATAGCTCTCTGAGCAACCTTGAGCGTCCTCATACGGCCGGCAACACGCATTGGTTGTACAATCTAGTTTTCAGAGATTGAGGTATACCTGACGAGAAGATTCCCGAACGCTGCCCAGCCGAGTTGAATCCGTCGATTGACTTCTCGGTCGAAGTTGGACTTACCTAGTCGGACTATTTGTCCCAGGTAAACGTACTCGTAAACAATTTCGAGCATAGTGCTCCCAACAACTACCGGCATAGGTGTGACATGGACATTAAACATGATCTTTGTTTTGTCCATGTTCATCTTAAGACCTATCCGTTAGGAGACACCATTGGTTCCGCTCGATCGCTTCTTCAATACGAGCAGTATTAAAGTTGCGTAAGTCCCGCCGCATGCATTTGGATAAATATCTGTCTGTTCGGTTGCCTGTATATTGTCATATCTGCTGACAATTGCAGCCTCATCTCCCGTCTAACAGCCATGAGATTAAGAGTGTGTCGGAGAGTTTTTGTGTTCTTCTGCGGCGGGTCTTGCAGAACTTCGCTCCGACCGCATGGACAGTTTCCACGAGCTTGTTTGTCATTCATGTCGTCCACTGCATTGCAATCTTCTAGGCACTGAAAGCGGTTTCGTAACTCGAGCTGAAAGGTTTCGGGATTCTGGATTAGAGCACGAGGGGGACGGAGCGTTGACTTCATTAGACGAGACATCTCCAACTTTAACTTCAACGTTTAGGTTCAGTGTGCCTCTAACCATTCGGTGATCGCTGCCAGTTTTCATCCTTGCGATCACTGAGACATCACTGAACAGTTGGCGTCTGGTCGTCATAATGAAGTCAATCTCATTTTTTGTCGAACCATCGAGGCTCGACTGGGTCCACTTTCTGTGGGGCCGCTTCTGGAAAAAAAAGTTCATCATAAAGAGTCCCTCTTTCTCCATGATGTCGGCCAGCTGCTGGCCTCTTGGGTTCCGTTGCCCTATCCCAAATTTCCCCACCTTCAGCTCATCGTTCTTTCTTGTGCCTAGTTTTGCGTTGAAGTCTCCCATAAACACCGTACAGTGAGTTTTGGAGGAATGCATGACTCTAGAAATATCCTCATACATTTCCTCCACCTCCTCATCGGGATGTTCCGACGTTGGTGCGTAAACCTGTATGACCTTCAGCGAATACCGTTTGGTGTTTCAGAGTATAAGGTACGCAACCCTCGTCGACACACTCCCAATCTTTACAATGTTGTTAATGAGAGACTTGTGGACGAAAAATCCAACACCTCCTTGGGACAGATGGTCGCCCTCTCGGTGATAGAAAAGTTGCCGGATTCGGGAATCACCGTGTCTTCTCCCTCTCTTCGGACCTCGGATAATCCTATAATATTCCAGCGCAACTTGTCTATCTTTTCTTCCAGCTCCGGGATCTTCTCGTCAGTCCTCAGAGTGCCATGTCGAGTCGTCGTAGGTGGCAACCGAACCTCCACCGGTGATTCTTAGCACCTCCTGCCCCGCCGTTACCATGGTCGCCGCCGTAGCCAAGAATAGCGGGGCCGCCTGGGACTGGGGGCATTTGTTTCGTAACTATCATGGGGGTATATTGCCATAGTTGCCACGCTTGGCAAGTGGGTTGGCAACCGCAGTTTTTTTGTACAGTTGCTGCTATCAAGAAGATGCTGCTGCCCATCTCCTGCCTGTTTCTCTCTGTCGCCTGTTACGACGTTGTTTCATTATTTTAAAATATTTTAGGAACTTTTAAAATACCTGTATTGTTGATCAAGATGCGCCTTTTCAATTCTTTTATCTTTAGCTCTTCGGTTTTGGAACCAAATTTTCACTTGCGTTTCGCTTAGAGACAGTGCAGATGCCAGCTCACATCTATATAATATTTAAAAAAATACTCATGATTACATATTAAAATCGTACTAATTAGTAAGTGAAGGATTAAGCATAACAAAGACATTAACGTCAGCGATGTTCTTTACTGGCGGCTATTATATATTGAGCTAATGAGCCAACATCTTTGATATAAGAAAAACTTACATCTATGGCTAACATGGTATGGGAGAGATATTTACTTTATAGGTACTTGCGATTGTTGTCTCTGGGTGGAAACTCCAATTATATAATGATTGACACACATATACTGGATTCATTTATAACATATTTACTAGATAACTGACCAGTTTCGCCTTGTGGCATCATCAGGCCATATGGTGTATGATGATGATGCTGATGATGCCGCAAGGTAAAACTGTGTGCTTAAATAAAATTATGTGTGGAACAAGCCCTTATGTTAATGCTATATACCTAGGTAAGTGAGATATATTTATTAGTGTAAAGTAGAACATGATTTTTAGAAGTACCTTGGTAAGCGCGACAAACGAGTTCACGATTCACTTGATGGGAAGTGGTTGTTGTAGCCAAAACACTAGATCTACATCTATCATCGATAAATCAAAATGTTTACTACCCCGGAGAGCTAAGATACAATGCTTTTTCACCAGTAAGAATAGTCTAATAATATTTTTTATTATATTAGATCCGAGCCGTATAGTGGCGGCTATTCGCATCGCATATTAATGTATATAATGTGTATGTAATGCCGATATATCTGTATCGGTATCGGATGCATCCCTAATTATTATATTCATTACAGACCACAAGTCCAGTGCTGAACATAAAAGCATTCTCCATGTAAGAATTGCTAGAATTACGATAATATGTAAGAATTGTTAGATTTCATGGTTTTCTTTAATTGTAAAATACTAGTGTTTATTGGAGAGATTTTATGCCTTTTTTACATAGGATAAGGTGACAAACGAGCACACAGTCCACCTGATGGTAAGTGGTTGCTGCGGCCCATAGACAACTACATCTATCCTCGATTACGAATCAAAAGTAAGTCCATATGATTCCAACCAGGCGAAGCCAGTGCTGGTAGCTAGTTTAATAATATATGCACAATAAGACTCTGTACAAGCAATAATACACATAAAATAAATCTAAAATAAATAACGTAAGTATAATAAGTAAAAAAATAACGTATAAGTAGTAGAGCCACGCTGCAGCTATATTATGGTTGTGGCACGAACGGCTCGACCGGGGAAGAACCACGCTCTCACAGAATACCGGCGTAAAACAGCAGCTTAATGCTGCTGTGTTTCGTGTGGTGAGTGCAGAGATCCGGAGATCCTATTTTACTGGAAACGAGGCATTCTACTCGTATCATAGTTCTCACGGGTGACAACGCATCTGTATTTTGATTCTTAATCTAGGAAAAATGTAGATGTGTATGGGCCACAGCATCCACTTACCATCAGGTGGATCATGTGCTCGTTTATCACCCTTATTCTATAAAAATATACGTGTCTTAAGTACGATGTGATGTTTCTTGCGCATCCACTTGCAGTAGGCCTGTTTTTCACAAGTTGCACTAGCACTTGGGTTACTAGTTAGACTGAAATGAACCATTTACCTTCGCGTCCTCGCTACATATTCGCCTCTCGCATATTCCAATTCAAGACGAAGGGTTTGATGTGCTGAGAAGGTTGTTCTTTGGCGACGTGGTCGACTCTCTTTACGTCTTCTCCGAGCCACTGAAAGGACAAAAGTAAGTATTTATTTGGAGTTCTTTGGACAGGCTTCTCAAACCTTATTCAGGAATTATACGAAACTAATTTGTAATCAACAACGCTGCAGCTATACTATAGTTGTAGTACCAATAGGTCGGATCGATCGGGGCAAGACCATGCTCTCACAAAATACTTGCGTTAAATAGTGGATTAATGCAGCTGGCAGCAGTGTTTAAGTGTAAAGAACTGGAGACCCATACTACTGAAAACGAGGCATCCCATATTAATCCTCAGGGGTGACAACGCATTCTTCATTTTGATTCTGATTCGAGGATATATGTAGATTTTTAAGGGTCACAGCATCCACTTACCATCAGAAGGACTGCGTGCTCGCTTTCTTCCATTATTCTCTCTATAAGTCTATCTGTATTATATCTATCTATCTATGTAACGGAACTTTTTTTGAATGTATGCAATGCGTGTTGTTTAAGTTTTTTTAAACTCTTATAGGTATTATTATGTATAAAGATAGATAATCTATAAAGAGTAATTTGTTATGTATCTACTAGCAGGCCCTCCCGGATTTTCATTAAATAATTATGTAAAAGGGGTTTTGAAACTGTCAAGGGTATAATGACGGTTTTGGTTTTTTTGGGTTGGTGTTTTATTAACCTTACCTACTTCCTACCATCAATCTACGAACATTTTTAATGAAAACAAAGTTGGCCGAAATCACAGCCAATAATTATCGTTTATTGCTCATAAACACATTCAACTAGGTACTCGTAAAGTTATTGTTAATAATCTCAGAAAAATCCAAAAACAAATCAAATGAAATTTGTTTTGTTAAAACCTGTCATACTATAGGTACATACATACAGCATAATGCGTAACAATTTATTACCTTACAAATCATATAATATTGTGGATTTAGGTTTTACATTTTAATCTTGAGCGGACGACGTACTACTACCTATAAGGATTCTTGGCGGTTTTATTAACGTCGTCAAGTGATTGAGGCGTGAGAAAAATGTGCTTGTAAGAGCTCCGATTCCGCACCATATTGCTACGGAAGTGAAACCTTGCGCCGAACGAGGGTGAATCACGATTATTTTAATCTTTCATAACTTCGCAATCCGATACCTGCATATCGGTTGGTCACTATCATACAAATTTTAATACACGCGGCACCATCTGTTACTATTTCGTTGGTACAAGGGAAGCAACTTCCGATTTGTAAAATTGTATGTAACATAGTTCAACGGTTTTTTTTTAAATATCGATCACAATTACATAAACAATAAACAAAGCATGTGTACATACACATGTTTTGTTTATTGTTAAGTTTTAGTTACGTCCAATGATGTTATAATATGACATTAGTTTCACCTGATGTGATTTTCCTTATTTCTAAATGTGGAATGTTTAATCTAGTAGGTAGGTATCTAAACTTAAAATTACATAAATTAAGAGATAATATGGCAATTTCTATTTTATAAATTATATCAATGAAGAGGTAGTCTGCAACACGCATGTCACCTCCATACATAAAGAAATTTATAAGCAGCAAATGGTAAAATTAAAAAAATTGTACAACCTTCTTCTTCTCAGACTTCAATATAAATAAAATGAGAACATCATTCATGTATTCGCAGTCAATTAAATACGCATTATTTAAGGATAACTCAAAAACAACGTGTCATATCTTATCAAATTTATATGAGACCCCGCGAGAAGCACCAGCGTTCAGATAGGAAAAGGAATATCAAAATCGGTTCGCCTAGAAAACTGTTCTGAGGTAGCACACATAAAAAACATACCTACTGTCGAATTGAATACTTCCTTTTCCTTTTTGAAGTCGATAGAAAAAGAAAAACTACAAATATGATTTATTGCGTTATCCTCTTTATAGAACATATCTACAATGGAATCAAGCTATTCTAAGGATATTTCAATACGTTTTTTTATTCTCATCCTTATATACTTGATAGTTAAGGATCTTTTTCAATTTATTGGATAAATTATCGTATGCAATAATTATAATTTATTTTGCTCTAAACTAAGTTTTTGGAATAATATGCATTATCATATTACGTTCATGATCAGATGAAGCACGATATACGAGAATGATGCGATGTCCTGTCAATTTGCAATCTCCATACGGTTCATTGATTATATCGATAAACATAGCTCTTCCGCTGTGTGGGCGAAAGGGACACAAAAACTGCACGAGTTTTATGGTTATATGACTACAACCGAACCCTTATTAATTAATTACGGTTAATATCATCTATTCGTGATTTTGTCTTTTTTATAGAATAAGGGTGACAAACGAGCACAAAGTCCACCTGATGGTAAATGAATGCTGTAGTTCATAGATTCAAGAGGCCCTGTCATCCTTAAGGATTAAGATGGAATGCCTAGTTTCCATTAAAAAGGTTCTCAGTTTATCTACACTGTCTATAAGTACGAAACAGCAGCATTATATAAGCTGCTATTTCACGCTGGTATTCTGTGAGAGCGTGGTCGAGCGGACCCATTCGTTCTACAACCATAATCATAGCTGCAACTTAAAATCTCAAGTCACATGTCTCTTGTTCACGTCTAGAGATTTGTCCGTTAGTGCATAATATGTATTTAATAAATAAACAAAAGGAGATACATAAAATACAACAAGAGAATGTTACTAATACCAATAAATGCTTACTGTTTGGATTGCATATTGGATTACAGAAACAAAAATAGTATTCCCAAAAGATGTCATTGCTTATAAACCTAACTTTTAAATTATTACTTTTTAATAGACTAGGGCCGATTTTTCAATCGTCAGATAAAAGTTACTTATGTAATTAAATATAACATAAGCGATTTAAAAATTACAAAAGCATGAATAAAGTAGTTAAATTGTGTGACTTTTATATTTCGTCAGGTTATAATTTATTACCCATTTTACTGTATTTACTGTATCCGAATAATAAATTATGCTTGCCCAGTCTTTACTGCTCCCCATCTTCGATTATGTTGACATCTAGATATCTAGACATTACCGAAGAGCAACTTAACAAACTTGAGCCACAAAATCTATGTATAAGGTTCAAATTCTTATTTAAATGTTTATGAATTTACTTTTATATTTGTAGATAAAATATTATTTACAGTGCACTCTACTAATTAATTAACTTTTTACTTATTTTTATTTCCTATTTAGGTTGTCTGGAAGAACTTGCTGCATAACAATAAGACCGCCTTTTGTTTTTTCTCTGTTTGTTTCTTGTTATGTTATTTGTTTTCTTAGTGTTCAATAAAGGGTATTGTATTGTATTGTCAACTTATTTTTTTCGCTATCTTTATTTACCGACAGATTATACTTTGACTGTGACACTATTTGAATTTCAAACAGATCAGAGATTTTTTTCATGAAAGAGAATGTGAACAATATTTACATGTACCGTAATTGTTTTATGACTGTGGTGAAACTCGAAAATGTTCAAACTCACATAAGCGAAACTCACTAGAATAGAACTAGTAACTTATTTTTTGCATTAAATCTCACTTTTTCCTTATATCTGTTTAAAAATTCCACTTCTAATAACTTTTCTAAAATGGTAGACATTTTTTTCTGTATATTTGTATATAAAGCCGTGTGCAGATTATCACTACTTTCAGAATATTCAATGCAACAGTTTTCGTTATATTTCAATAGAAAGTATTTAGCAAGAACTAATTTTCGAGTTATTATTGCCATCAATTAAAAGTAAAGACGAGAGCTGACTCTGTTACCCATAATGCTACGGGGCCATGGCGCTCCATGGTCCCGAGCATTTTGCCCCTTGCTACACCACTATGTGGGTGTCGTAAGAGACGACAGGGGAAAAAGCAGGAGGGTGAGCAGCAGCATATTTCTGGTAACTACTCAAAAACTCAAAATAATAAAATAAACTGGGGTTGCTAAATCGCCTGCCAGGCGTGAAAACTAAGACAAACATCCGCTCTATGAGGCAGTCTTTGGAGAAAGCCTATGTTCAAAAGAGGACTTTTAATAGGTTGTAATAAATGATGAATAATGATGATATACAAATGTGGAGGAAATAAAAAAGATATCCGATACAGGTAACATAAGAAAACTTAGTATTGTTTATATTGTTAAAAAGAAAAATGATATGTTATGAATAGTTTGCATGATCCAAATCGTTAGTGTGATGTACGCGTGAGAGATTGCTCTTAATTTATTTGCCTTGAATACTATTTTATTGTATGAGAATAGATGGCCCATTCGTCTAATGATAGCTTCAAATACTTAATTGAAGCGAACAATGGAGACGTTTTATTGTGTGCGTACGCATAGTTCGTTATTAGTTATTACTAAGTTCGATATAATGAAGTAAGAAAATTATTGTTGAGTATACAAAGGGATACTTACGTATGATAATTGAAATTACATTTGAGCGACTTGTTGTGTCCGTCAAAGTTGCTAAATCTTGAGAATAGTGATAGAAGGGTGGCAATTATGGCTGAACCTCTCTACAACTGAAGAGGTTTATGTTTAGGAGTAAACTTTTACAGGTTGATGATGAGAAAAGAATCCAGCGCCCTTTCTTACTTGATAAATTTTACTAACAACAGATCTCGGATGAACAGTGTGCTATTCTTCTTATCTGTTCTGTGTGTTATTCTTCTCGCGACGTAATTATTCACGGAAGGCCAACATTTCTTTACAATCAAGAAATTGTAGAGAAATATTGGGTTTTATACATCTGTTATAAGCGAAATCTTCTTCAAGAATTCATTAAATGATGGTGAAACCGCATTAAATTCCTAAAAATATTCTTCTTTTCATTTAAAAATAAATAAATCTACATAATAGATTTATTAAAGTTTTACCTGAAAACACATAGAAACGGGGAAGAGATTTTTTAATATTATTAAGTGATTATAAAGTTACGCCTATATTCGTCAAGGGAGTAGGTAGGTAGTCTAAGTAGCAGCGAACTATTTGGACCACGTTTAGCCAAGAAATACTTAGGTGGAAAATTTTGAAAGAAGTGACACTCGTCGTCTTTTACGATATGCTAAGCAAGTACGTACATACAGTTGGCATAACATTCATAACATAGGTACAATAAATATGGAACTATAAGTATGTAACTATAAATCCCGTCATGGGACTATGTACTTATTAAGTTCAGTATTGGTCATAGATAATATAATTAAAGGAGAGCCATGTGGGGAATTGAAATTGTGCAACGCCAACGCCTACATGTGTGCGCTTACTTATGTGTGTGTGTTTGATGGGGTGGGGGGGGGGGGAATATGAACTTAGATGGCCAGATTTAGTGAAAGTAATTTTAAGTAGCTTTATTTTTTAGTAGTACCTACCTACAAAGCTATATCATAAGCTATGCGGCAAATGCTCACAGCTTAAAGTTTTTGAAAGTTTGGTGCTTTTTCGCCAATCTTTAAGTGGTAGAGCCGCGCTACAGCTATAATTTGGCTGCGGCACGAATGAGTCCCCTCGACCGGGGTAGGATCACGCTCTTACGGAATACCAGTGTGAAACGGCAGAATATTGCTGTGTTTTGTATGGTGAGTGTAGAGAACCGGAGGCCCTTTTTACTGGTAGAGGTATATCATCCAGTCACAAGTTGACTCCTTAATTGAGGATAGATGTAGATGTATATGGGCCATGTATTCACTTAGAATCAGGTGGACTGTGTGCCCGTTTATCACCCTTATTTATAAAATTAAACTTTCATAGTTCGTAATATTCTAATAGCTCTCATATAGCGTAAATGCAAGGTTAAAATTACGTCAGTCAGCACTATTTTGTAAGATAATCAAAACAACGTTTGACAAAAAATGAAGGTAAATTAATATATTGGCCTATTTAACAAAATCACAAAAAGGGTGGATGCGATGCGATGGGAGACGTCAGCTGTGGACACCCCGCTGCATATGTAATTGCTCCACAATAAGGGTATTATCTGACTGAGCGTTGTCACATTAAATCGTCATCCGCTCGATAGAGTCGAAAGCGAGTGTGATATTAGTAGAGATTTTGTAAGGATTTACCTTCATAATTTATCCTAATTTTGTTTGGTTTATGAAGTATGAATTCATTTAAAGAAAATGTATATGTAGTATGACTTAATTTAAAGAAAGGAAATAATTTGTTTAAAAAGTTAAGGAAAAGCAAAACGGGTTAAGTAACTCTTTGTAAAAAAAAACAAACACCTTAACTGGAATGGAAATTTCAGC